GCACATTCAGTATTAGCAAGGAACAAAACCAGGGCAAGAAGGAGCAGGCGATGGAGTGAGGCAAAGGCAGAGCCTTAAAGGAGTGTGGGTGTCCTGGAAGTCTGTAGGACATTCTGTGTAGCAGAAGCCACCCTAAGTTATTGGAGAGGACTGGAGAAAGAAAATTGCCTCCCAGGAGGCAAATCAACTAGAAGACTTGAAATATTTAAAGATATAACGAGGGATTCAAGCCCAGGTGGGTGGCCATAGTGGTGAATCTGAAAGGTCATAGGAAAGAGAACACAGACCCTTACTCGTCAGAAGGAAAGTGTAGGGCAGTAGCCAGGGTTTGGTTTGAGCATTTGAATGCACCAGTAGGACAAATGTTGCCAGAAAAGACTCCAGAACCCAACAGGGACTTTATATTAGTTTCTATTTTAGATTGAACTGTCTGCTTTTTCCCCAGTTACCATGCTAGGGAGAGGCATGATGTTTAAGTTACATTTTATATTTACATAGGTTGAGCTCTCTCGTTACTACAATCAGAGAAAGAAATCCCAAAATGAATTCCAGACCTCTTTAGACATGGCCTTTGTCAATAGCCAGAACCAGCTATGCAGCCCAATTCGGCAGCATTAATGAATAAATACTGACCCCCAGTGTCAAGAAGTAGAAATTAAAGATTAAAAATTAATCATCATGGGCCCTCCCTGGTGGCGCAGAGGGTTAAAGCACAGTAACTGAGAAGCTGAAGCCACTTCAGCATGAGTTTGTTCCCCGCCTGCCCTGGAGGTGACCCACATGGCGCGGCAGACCTCTCCTGACCCACCTGCTGCTCCCCTCAGCAGTGTACTTCGTCAATCTGCCTGTTCTGCTCCCCGCTCTGTCTCTGGCGAATCCTCTCACTGCCCCCTGAACCTCTGGCCTGCACCCAGTTCCGTATGATTAAATAAATAAATCTTTAGAAAAAAAATTAATCATCACAACATTCCAAGACTCCGAGGAGAGTACCTGGAATTCCAATTGCAAATGATGTTCCTGACCATCTAATCAGAATCTTGGGTGCTTCCGACAAAAAATATTGATAAACTGAACTGGTGACTAGTGGCTGCCTGGAGAATGCTAATAAATGCTCTACAGAACAAGCATCAGAATAGATGAAATTAAACATGGATATGTAGCTACATGAAGGCCTTTGACTCTCAGCTCCAAGGTACAGGCTCTACCACTCCAATGTGCTATGTGATTAATTAAAAGCAGACTCCAGGTCTGATTCCCCACTTAGGTCAACATTACATCAAATCAAAATTCCCGTTCAGATGCAGGGAAGCATGGCTGGTGAACATTCCTTTTCAATAGCTGTGTGGTAAGAGTGAAGTCATGAGAAATGCTTGAGTAAACTCTGCAAGGTAACTTAGCAGGAATTGTTTCATCATTAGAAAGCAACCAGCTAATGTCTTGATCAACAGTTGGTGCAGTTTCTGCAGACTGGAATCTATGTGCCTGCTCTTTGGAGCCATGTTTATGTCACATTCTGGCTGAAGCTACTTAATAGCTTCCTACCACACGGACACACAGTGAAAAGGTTTCTGTCTCAAAATCAGGAAGAGCATCCTCATCGGAAACCAACTCATCAGTACCCTGTCCACATCTTCCCCCCTCCCATTCCTGGGAGGCCATGGAGCCCCCACAGGCTGAGGTATTTTGTTACAGCAGCCTGTGCAAAAATAACCATCCATATAATTGTCATCCTGCTTTCCTTTAATCTCAAACTGTCCCAGAATGGGCACTTGGAACTTATTTTGTGTCTTATTTGCCTTTGGCCATTCCCCCCCCCCGCCCCCACCCCGACTCAAGACGTTCTAAGCTCACCTTTTACTTTATCTGCCCCAAATCTGGAGACCATCTTCTCAACATTCCTAGTGCTGTGGAACTGGCCAAGCATACAGGGTGGGCTCACTACTGTGGCCCTTTCAGAGGGCAGAGCCAGAGCTGGGAGTGGGTGTGCAGGAAAGGCGGGCTGCAGTGGCAGAAACACACAAACACACATGCATGTTGACACAAATACATGCACAGTGCGAGACCAGCACCCGGGCACCTCCCCTGCCTCTCTTCTGTCTCTGCCTTCTCCTATCGGGAGCAATCTGATGTACAATCACATTAATAATCTCGCTCATCTTTTTAAACCCACAAAATTGTCTCAGAACTACTTCTTTAGTCCAGAACATTTTCCTCTTTTAAGTACTTGAACACTAGAATTACCAAATCATCCCACATTATCCTGCAGACGTCTCCAGGCCAGCAGGCTCCTGGGCCTCAACCAGAGTTAATGCAAATGTGTTTCGTGGGGACTTGAACTGCACAAGATGGCTGTCTGGTCTCTGGAGCTCTGAAAAGGCCGCCATTCAGAGCAGCTGATGGATGGTCCCCTCCTGAGCAACTGGAGGCTGCTTAAGCTGCTTTCCTTTCCCAAATCCATCCTGATTCTCATCTGGCATTTATTTCAAAATAACCCAGTTTGCAGATGGGGATGGGGGAGCAGAAAGGATCTTGATGTATTGGTGCTCACAAGGTGCTAGGAGATGTGTGTTCTTTGTTATTTATGCTCTCAGCATTTTTTGATATTTAAGGCTTTTCATAATACAAGTAATTTTTTTAAAATGTATTCCTGACAAATCAGAATAAGCACATGTTTAAATGGCAAGTCCCAACTCAAATCAAAGGCATCTAAGATGTGACTCCATTATGTGTACAGGGGAAATGATGGTGACCCTCCAGGGGCCTTCAGAAAAATGGCTGAGAGTAACACTTTTTTCCCCCTATTTGGCTTAACTTTAGACTAGATTATCCTCCAACAAACAGAGCTTTAAAAAACTGTGAAAAGTGGCCCTTCCTGGTGGCGCAGCAGGTTAAAGCACAGCACTGAGAAGCTAAAGCCGCCTCAGCATGAGTTCGATCCCCGCCCCGGAGGTGACCCACAGGGTGCGGCAGACCTCTCCTGACCCTCCTGCTGCTCCCCTCAGCAGTGTACTTTGTTGATCTGCCTGCTCCCCACTCTATCTCTGGTGAATCCTCTCAGCGCCCCTGTACCTCTGGCCTGTACCCCAGTTCTGTATGCATAAATAAATCTTTAAAAAAATATTGTGACAAGAGTAAACCTAGTCTGCCTTCATCTGTTTAAAGAGCTTTGTCATTAAAGAGAGACTGAGTGGTTTCAGTTCTCTGCATGTGAAGCCTTGAGGGACAGCATGACCTGGCATCTGTCAGGCCAGACAGGCTGGGAGGCAAGTCACCATGAACTGCAAGACATGGGTGGTCCCACAAGCCAACAACTTGTAAAATTATGCAAAAGAAAAAAACAGGAAACACGACCAAGCTCTGCAATTTGGGGTTTCAGAGGCAATAACATTTCAAACACTGTCCAGGTAAGAGGGAGACTGAACTCTGCTGAGACTCACTGTTTTTATGCTGAGCATAAAAAAGAAAAAACACCACCACCAGGAATGATGAATCTTCTAACCAGTAGAGCTGTTTCCCCTATTCTGTCTTGCCATAAATAGTAATCTGATAACAAAGAACTATGATACCAGAAGGGAACCTCTGACTTCCCTCTTTCTGGGGTGCAAATTGGCCAATCACTGCCCAAAGGGAATTGGTTTCACACTGATCGAAAACATGATTTTCACAATGAGAGGCTTCCTAGGTTGGAAGATGGATAACCACTCCCGCTAACATAAATGTGGAGAACTGTGTACATTTCAGTGAAAGTGCTCACAATCCCACATGAGAAATAATCTGCAAAGTCCGGGCAAAAGAACCTAGTTGTGCTTGGAAATTGATCACATTAAAAATGACCTTCTGTACACATCTTAGCAAGGAAAAATACATGACATATATTCTAACCAAGGATGCTTTGCTAATTCAGTGCTCAAATTAGAGCTAGATGACACAAGAACAGCTCCTTTCAAAAGCAGAACTTGTTCTTTTAAGAAAAAACGAATGTTCAGCACTGGAACACAGTACACATCTGAGAGATTTAAAAATTAAAATTCTAGGTATGGCCTCTTGCTGCCACCCTCATCTAATAGCACTGGGCCTGCAGAGATCTAGCCAGCTCCGAGGCAAAGCCCAACCTGGGAGCAAGCAAGGCTGCCATATTTCTAGAAAATACTGGCTACCTTGTCGTTAAAAATGAAGAAGGGCCCTCCTTGGGGCCCAACAATGGGTTGAAGCTCAGCACTATGAAGCTATCCGCAGCCACTGCCGTACGAGTTCGATCCCCAGCCAGGGAGCTGACCCACAGGCTCAATAGACCTCTCCTGTCTCCCCACTGCTCCTCTCAGCAGTCTATTACAGTGGATCCACCTGTCTCTGCTCCCCACTCTGTCTCTGATGATTTCTCTCACTGCCCCCCACACCTCTGATCTGTACCCCAGTTCTTATATGCATAAATAAATCAATCTTTAAAAAAAAATAAAATGAAAAAGCCTACTTTTCTCCTCCTTTCAGAACAGAAAGGTGTTAAGATTAGGATACAGATTAGGCAGACCTCAAGATCCTCCCTGTACCAACAACTCTGGTTTACTTGTAAATCAGGAAGAGAAAAACAGGGATAAAGCTGGAGGGCTGGAGTTGTCAAAAATCATTTCACATGAAGTTTTTGTCAGTGTCTGTTCATTTATGGCAGCGAAGTTCTAAAAAACAATGAAGCCAAATGGTATCAGAAATATCAGCAACCACCACCCCCAGTTCAGAAAGTGCTCAAGATGCCAAGAGACCAGGCACAAGTTGGTCAGGGTGTGTGGGAGTCCAGTCCAGAGGCAGGATGAGAAGTCAACTCTAGGCCTCCACTGCATGAACACAAGGTTACCGCTTGCACTAGAAATTCAGAGGCTGATTGTAGAGATTTTAAAAAATGGTCTGAGAGCAGCCTCATCATCGGTTTGGAATGCCAGGTAGATCTGGTAGTTACACTTTCCACCCTGATGTCTCCATTCCTAAAGACTCTTCAAAATGGAGGGGTCATGGTGGGGAAACAGTCGTTGCTCAGGAACATACAATATCCACGCGCCACATCCTGGTGTGTCATAGTCACAGTAGGTGGCAGGCAGACCGATCGCCCCCATCAACCCCATCATCCCCGTCAGGCTCTGCTGGAGGCATCCGGAGGGGAGGCTGAGAGGTGACCGAGCAGCAGCAGGGGCTTAATCGTTTCCTTCAGGTGCCACTAACTATAAAATGGACAAACCGATGGGACTATGGAGAACCATGAAAGATGGCAACTCACAGCACACTTTCCTCTGGACTTTTTACTGACATGTTAACTTGTTTGAAATCAGGCAACAGCTTAAGGAAAGGATTGCTTACATATCTGCAGCCCCTTAAAACAGTGTGGGAAATGGTATCAGGACTGACAGGTGATTGATTCTGTGCGTGGCCAACCCACGTTACTGCCCGCGGCGAGCTGTCTTCTTTCTCTTCTGCTGATGAACGACGAGTGTAACAGGTCGAAGATGCCATCTCCCCTGTTTTTCGAACAGGATTACACACCCAGTATTCTACCTTCCCTTGGCCCCCGCCTTTCAGTATAGAGAATTAGGTGCTGTGTCTACTGAAATAATGCGACTCTTTTGAGTGTTACACCGGCAGTTCAGATGCCTTCACTTAATGTTATCAATCAGATGCAGATGCCTGGGGATAGCATTTCCAATTACAGAACTTTATTTGTAAATCATTGTTAGGTACCCAACAGTCAAAGTTCACAAAACAAAAAGAGAACACAAACAGCGAAAGTTGTCTACACGCTGCTAATTCTAGCAGTCAGAGGAGTCACAGGCAGGCGTCCCAAGCCCGAGCAAAGGGCCTTGTTTGTTGCTGGTTGCTGAGGAACCCACCTGTGAATGACCCCTGTGAAGGCCACTGGTCTCAACGATCAAAGCATCTGCTTTCTTACAAGAAAAGACTAGTAATAAATACTGAAGTATAGTGTATTTTATAATCCCCCTTACTATCATCCCAGAAAGTCTTAGTAGATAGAAAAGTCAACTGCTTATTGGAATAAGCAGTGCCTGTCAGTGGCGACTCAACAGTCATCTGTGAAGGCTGAATATCTTAAACTTCACCTCTGCTCATCACTCTCTCTCCTCAGGAACCTATGGCCTGAACGAGGCCCACCGGTGAGCAAGTAAACTCATCTGGGCAGCGGGAGAGCCAAGCCACAGGCTCAGGGAATGCGCCCCATGGCATCCTCACTAAGGCTTTCCTCTTGGTCAACATTACTCATGTAGCTACCTCTCTAAAGACTACCCCACGGTCTAGCTCTTGAAAGCTCCAGAAAAAGATCAGGAAAAATGAGACATGAGACACCAGCACCCGTAACACACTGCACGCAGCCCCTTCTGCCGCTCTTCCTCGCCAGCACCCGGGAGAGAGACACTTTATTTTTTCGCTTGTTTCACTTTTCCTTGATCCTCTACTTTCTTAATGGCGGCTCGGATAGCCTCTTGGTCGCCCAGGAATTGGTGAGGCCCAACAGCGCGGAGGTTCTCATCCAGCTCCAGGAGAATGGGGACTCCCGTGGGCAGGGTGATGTTGATGATGTCCTCGTCAGAGATACCTGGATTAGGAGAGGAAGGACAGGGTGTGAGGACAAGCCAGGAGGCAGCGCTGCCAGCTGGTTAATGGTGTGGTTAGAGTCACTGAGCTGTGAGGGAGTGCAGCTAAGTCCCTAAAAGTTAAGAATGTGCTAGAAGTTTTTTTTTTTTTTTTTAAAAGATTTATTTATTTATTCATACAGAATTAGGGTAAAGGCCAGAGATGCGGAAGGTGACAGGATTCACCAAAGTGGGGAGCAGAACAGGCAGATTGATGAAGTACACTGCTGAGGGGAGCAGCGGGCGGGTCAGGAGAGGTCTGCCTCGCCATGTGGATCTCCTCCGGGGCAGGCGGGGATTGAACTCCTGCGAAAGTGGCTCAAGCTTCTTAGTGTAGTGCTTTAACCCGCTGCGCCACCAGGGAGGGCCCAGAATGTGCTAGAAGTTGTTTTTAAATGCTTAGAAATACACACTGCATCAGCTGGTGGCAGAGTAGGTACCTCTTGGGGTGATCTACTCCTGTTTCCTATTTGAGTCTTAAAGAAATGCAGCTGTTTCTTTCCATGCCCACAGATGTCAAAAAGAAATCAGGTTTTTCATGGGCATCACTTAATCTTGACAAATCTGAACGAGAATCAGGAATTTCTGGTTTTTCCTTTAATTTGCCATCCCCAGGTGAGTTCAAATCTGTCTCAGAATAGAGCTCAACTGAATCGCATGTGGTCAGTTTTCCAGCATGGGGGAAGCTTGGAAAGGGCTGGGAGAGATCCAGGCAAGGATCCCCAGATGTGTAGGAAGCGCTACCAGGGCGACTCGGGACAGGGCTATCTAGACAGCAAGCCTTGCAGACAGGCTTCGTTCTCTTACTGCTCCGAAACATTCCAACTTCCGTGAGAAGGGATGCATAAGGGAAAAGTCTCCTTCAGTTCTTCTTTAAATACAGCCGAAATGACAGGTAGTTCGACTTGACCTGAGGTGCCAGAAGTGTTGGAACTGAAGTAATAGTAGCAGCAGTGGTAGTAATATTGTTTTGTATTACTAGGGCTACTTTTAACAATAAACAGCTGGCGTGTGCTGAGCACATTCCCTCTGCAGGCACTCTTCGAACCACTTTAGATGTATTAATTTATTTAATCATCACTGCAATTCTATGAGGATATGAGCTGTTTTCTTCCATGTAACAAGCTCTGAGCTAGAAAGTTTAAATAAACAACTTGAACTCACACAGCTCGTAAGTCAAACCCTGGCGTTTGTGACTACAGGAAATGTAATGCTCTCAAGTTTCTCCGAGTTCAAAATAGGCAAAGAGAAGGAGAAAAGCAATGGAGGTAAGCAAAGGGAAAGGCAATTAACAGTATTCAAGTTATCTAGTTTAGAAAAAAATTCTAGACACACAATTTCTAACCACATGCTTCCCTCTCTAATAAGTAAAAGGAGTAAGGAGGAGCTTGCTGAGGGAAGCCTGAGGGCTTGTCCTTACTTGGTGTGAGACCAGGGCAGAACAGGCCATTAGCAACTGGCAAGCATGAGGAAGGGGACCCAAGAAAAGATTTTGTAGCTTGCCTTGCAAACAGTCAACAGACTTCATCTCTTCAGTCACCGGGCCTCATCGTGAGTGCCAGTGATGTGTCACAGAGTGACAACCCTGGGCCCCAGCCCCTGAGCTAGTTCTTTTTTAGAATTTCATATCGAGGCCCAGAAGAGCTGTAGATTTCTGCACAAACTGTACCTACTCAAGCAGTTACAAAGCGATGGAAAGAATCTGAACTTGGAAGTCGGTGTCTCTCCCCAAAGCACTGGCCGCCTCGCCCTCGGCCAGCTACCCCTCAATGCATGGACACTAGAACTTCAGGCAAATAACCCTCTAGCCTCCACTGCCTCTGTCAAATTAAAAAAGAAGGAAAGGAAGAAACACTCTTCCTCTAATAGCATTACAAAGGGAGTAGGGAAGGAGGAACACACTTCCAAGAGAAAACGTGAAGAAAAGTGCTTGTATTTCTCTACTATGAATTCTTTTCGATGTAAAAGAGTTAAAGAGCAGGCTCCTAAAACACTGTTTAGGCCTGCACACACACACCCCATGCCCACACTGCAATCCTGCACAAGATTACAATCCAAACTACAGCTGGCAAGAGCTGATAAAGTCGGCCCAGACAGCCAGCTTTTGGCCGGGAGAGGACTGCCTTGGATTCTGAAGGCCTCTGGCTCCACCAGGTCAGCTGTGAGCTAGCTGGCTGCGCAGCCGCTGCCACAGGCACCCCTCGCCAAGGGAATGTTCTGGAGACAGGACGGGGCTCCAACAGCCCAGGTTTAGGGCATGGTCTGTAGAACTCGGTAGTTATATCAATTCTAGGGGAAGTGACAGAGGCCCAACTTCTAACAACAGGCTTACTGTGCAAAGTACTCTGGTGAAGGACACATGGGACCATAGTCAGGATTTTCCCTCCACTGAACTATTTTTTCATTTACAGATGTTCCTCGGTGTTATCCTGAATGCCTAAGGAAAGCAGAAGCCCTTCATCAGAGGCCTGAGAAACGCAGGGCCACTGACAACTTTCACGTCCCTCTATCCTGCAAGGACAGTGCTTCATCTATCCCCAGAGTCTGAGAGCGACCACCTCCCTGAATTAGAGGGTAATATGGAGTTAGATCTCCCCCATGAATCTTCAGGAATCAATTTGTCAGACCAGCAGTAAGCAACGCTGACCAGGTTTGATGAATGTTTACAGAAATGATGAGTGAACAAATCTATGTGTATCACAAAGGTGAGTTTTGTGGGTATTACGTGCCTTCACATCACCAAAGATAAATCTTTACCAAAGTTCTGGGACCTAGAATTTTATTTTTAGACGACTAAATGTTTCACTTTTATTCAATATTGTACAGGAGACTGTAGCCAGGACACCGGGCAAAAAAAATGAAGTAAAAAGTATCCAGATTAGAAAGAAAAAAGTAAAACTACCTCTATGAGCATATGACATGATCCCACTAAAAAAGAACTGGAACTGATAAAGGCAGCAAAGTTTCAAGATACAAGGGTAACATATAAAAATCAACTATATTTCAAAAGTGAAAGGAAAATAATTCCATTTACAGTAGTATCAAAAAGAATAAAATACATAGGAAAAAATTTAACCAAAGAAGAATAAAACTGATACTTTGAACACTATAAACTACTGCTAAGTTTTTGAACACTATTGCTAAGAAATTTTAAAAGAAAAAGACACACAGAAAGACATCTCATGGTAATGGACTGGAAGACTTAATATTATTAAGATGGTAATAGACAATTATAGGCAAGAAGAATAGTCTTTTCAACAACAAAAAAATATATTCACATGCAAAAGAGCTGGCCCCTATCTCCTACCACATACAGAAATGAATTCAAAATGGGTCAAAGACTTAGATGTAAGAGGTAAAACTACAAAACTCTTAGAAGAAAACATGGGGGTAAAATCTTCGTGACTTTATTGTGCAGTGGTTTCTTAGACATGTAACCAACTACACCAAATACATCAGCAATAAAAGAAAAAAGATAAACTGGGCATCTAAACATTTAAAATGTTTGTGTTTATAAGGACTCCACCAAGAAAGTGAAAAGACAACCCACAGAATGGGAGAAAATTTTTGCAAGTCATGTACCTGATAAGCAACTTGTATCTAGAATAAAGAACTATTATACTTCAATAGTAAAGCCAAAGGACCAAATTTTAAAAATGGACCAAAGATGTGAACAGCGATTTCCCTAACATTATTAGCCATCAGGGAAATATAAATTGAAAACACACTGAGATACTATTTCATTTCTGCCAGGATCGTTAAAACCAACAAGTCAGATTAGAAATATTGGTGAGCACATAACAACTGGAATTCTCACCCATTATAAAATGTGGAGCATAAATGCTGTGGACTCTTTGGAAAACAGTCCAGTGATTCTGCAAACAGGTAAACATAGAGTTACATGAGATCCAGCAATTGTATTTCTATGGATATACCCAAGAGAGGACGAAAGCATACACCGAACCTGTACGTTAACCTTCACAGGAGCATTGTTACTAATAGCCCCAAGTAAAAACAACCTAAATTGAGTCAACACTACATTCTGTGATATCATATTACAAACTTATTCATGCAACATCATATGGTGGTTAAAACGAGAGGCCTGATAGCACAGCTCGCTCTGGATGAGTGGCTTAGATTTTTTCAGCCAGTGTCACCCAAGAAGGTCCGAAGAGAAACGGCAGAGATGTCTCACCCTGCATCTGTCTCTCTCCATCTCTCCCCTGTTCTTTAATCCTTGAATCCTCACATAGGAGCATCCATGCAATTTAAGTGATTGGGAAGAAATTGTAAAAGTTTAGGGGTAATTCTAAAGAGTAACTTAAGAATGAGGAGAAATTCAAACATTTTCTGCATACAAAGTTAACTTCAGAAATTCAAATCTCACCTCCATGTCCCCTCTGAGTCACTGCAGCAGGAACGGGCACAGAGCCAGTTATGAAGGTCACTGCTGCCACACCGGACCCTCTACGCCCAGGCTCACCTCTCCCGCCAGGACCATGAGCCCCAGCAGCTCAGAGAACCCGTCTTCTCGCCACAGAACGCCCGTGATCCCAGAGCAGTGCCTGACCCACTGGAAGGAGCGAGGCGGCTATGAGCGAGCTGCTGGGGTCCAGAAACTACCTAGCTGTGTGGCCCACCAGTTGTCACTTTGTACACACAGCCAAAGGCTGTGAATGTGAACTCTCTGGGCTTTCAGATTAAATGGAATCTTCTACCTTTATATCTAATCAAGAAGAAAAGAAGATTAAAAGGTTCTTAGTCTTGAACAAAGGGCTTGTTTTTTTGCCATTAGTGCCAGTGAAGCAAACAATCCAAATTAGATGTCTTGTCTGCATGTGGCTTTCTCTAAAGTGTTGGCTTAAAATCTCTGAATTTCAAGAAGTAGGGAAAGTGACATTTGGGGAGATAGAAAGATTTGTTATAGGGCAAGAGGAAACCCCAATTCTATATTGGGGGAGTT